GAAGAAGAAACCGCTGAACAACACCAACGAAGAAGCGTCTACCGGAAGTGTTGGCATAACCACGCGAGTCGAACATGAGTACCTTACGTCGGCGATCCAAAGTGTGGCTTCACTTTTCTAAAAATAACGAAATCTCGGCAAAATGCAAAATTTGTGACAAAAGGAGTATTTTTACAGAAGGAGTATTTCCTTCAGAAATGATGATTTCCTTCAGAAAGCCCGTTGGTTAGCAAGGTTAGCTAAACTTTTTTGACCCTGCCTCTTAAAAGAATCGGAATCGAGAATCGTTAGGAACCGGAATCGAAACAAGGAATCGGAATCGTTCAAATTCAAACGATACCCAACCCTAATGGCGAGTCAAGCAGGCACTGGGCAACTCCGCATCCGAGTCAACCCCGGGATAAAATAGTCTGAATATTAAACACTTATTATAGGCGTACCATAGTGATTCAGGATAAGTCAAAAACACAGTTTGGAAAATGGATTCATCATGTAGCCTACTCGTTCATTTTGAACATAAGTTACGGACTGCAGCCGCTGATACAACGGCGTTCTGTTGCGCGAGCGTCCACTAGCACATATGAGACGACATATAATTTTAAAGGGCACCTATTATGCCCCTTTTTACAAGATGTAATATTGGTCTCGGCGGGTGTCCCCAGAATGTATTTGTGAAGTTTCAGCTCAAAATACCCCACAGTTAATTTATTATAACCATTTGAAAATGTCAATTTGGGGCCTGTTTAAAAATGAGCTGTTTTGGTGTATACCACCTTAAATACAAATGAGCTGCATATCCCCGCCCTGCCTTTGGATGAGGGCATAACTTGATACCTACGGCAGTCGGTCTAAGCAGAAGGGCTGAGAGAGTGAAAGACCCGCTGTTTTTTTTATGTAATTCAGCCATAGACTGTGAATTCAGCCATACGTTTGAATCGAAATATAAATAGTATGAAGACAAGAGATTCCGGCAGAATAAACACAAATGAGAATGCACCAGTACGTCTCGGTATGGTTATTTGATACATTTATGTACTTATAGAGTTGTAATCACGTCCCTTTTGTAATTATGGATGTGCAACACACACAGACACACACAAACACTAACACTGGCGCAATTTTTCGAAACTACATACACATTCTGTGATAAAGTTTGCTACGAACAAGCGAAATTACATTTATGCGAGGGATCTCTGTGGCAAATGTGAGAAGATGGCTTACTTACAGCACAACAACATATATGCAGTTTTTAATACAATATCTTTAAAAAAAAATCTTTATATCTTTAAAAAAAAATATACCACACTGTCAATCAAACCACTTGCTCAATTCTACTTCACAAAGAGCTGAATCTTAGAACAGCTCGTTCTGAGACAGTGCATATGATTTATTGAGATTGGCACACACTGCCAACACACATTTATGTTCAAACACCATGTAAAAGTGAATTTTCCATAATAGGTGCCCTTTAACTCGCACATTCTCAAAAAATGGTTGCATATGCAACCAATTTGGTCGCAGTCTGGAACCCTGTGTAAGGCTGTGTGTCCACCAAAGTGTTTTTAGCCAGCTGAAAATGCTAGACGCTCTGCTGAAGACGCCGTGCTTTGGGCGCTTGAAAGCGTTTTGTCAGCGCAGCGTTTTTTCCGTTGAGCCGTTTCGTTGCTATGATACAGAATATACGCAGTAGAATGTTGTGACAGTTGGTCGGTGTGGTATTAGTTCCGCCCCTCCTCCACTGTGATTGGACGGCTGGGTAAAAAGTGACAGTGATGAGCGCTGCGTTTTATCCAAAGTTGAACATTTTTCAACTCTCAGCGACCAGTAAAAACACTGGGCGCTCGGCGCTTCAGCATAAAAAAAACACTCAGCGCCTCGGTACGCTCATGCCGTTTAAAAAACGCGGCACTCCCATTGAAAACAATTAAAAACATACGCCAGGCGCGTGGAAAAACGCTTTGGTGGACACACGGCCTAAGCGTTTCTGTATCTATTTGAAACCACGCTGCTGCCACTTGAATGAATGAATGAATACATAACGACGTTATCAGAAATCTCCACTTTGGCTGGAGTTTTTAGAAATAATCGTTTCCTGTGATAAAAACGGGGTTTTTCGTGTAAACGAGAGGCCAAACCGCAGGGAAATATCTGTCTTGCCTTCATGTAAACGGGGCATGAATCAGATACAACAACTGAAGCAGCAAACTAAATTTATGCCATTAACAATACAATACTTGTCTGAATGCACTGAAACAACTCCCCTGGATTTGAATCAGCGGAGGCTTCAGTCAAACTTCACACCAACTGCTATCATCACAATCTTTAAACCAACAGAGATTCCCTCTGCAAACATCCAGACAATCTACAAAAACAGTCCGAGCACAATTGACAGCAGGGTTCCTCTTATCTGTAGCACTGTATTCGGGCCATCCGTGACCCCTCCTCTTGTACTTTACTGCTATCATTATAACTCCTCCTCCCCATAGTGCAAACTAAAGCTATTCTCCCCGCCTGAGCCGAGAGTATCAGTCAACAGCCTCCACGAGACGAGAGTACACGGTGAAATACCACTGTCCTTCCTTAATAAGGACCATGTTGTGTGCGGCATGCAGAAAGAATTCAAACAAACGCTAAAAATCATACTTCAGCCACACTCCCATCGGTACACATCTGAAATCTTGAGCTGCCAAAAATAGCAAGTGGCTTAACAGCAAAGGAGTGGACAGATGCCACAGGGAATGGCACTTAATGACTAACCCAACCAAAACCAATTAGGTTAGACATTGCTTAAAGTGACGGTAAACCAAAGCCAGACTTATGAAAACCAATGCCCTTCCCACCTGGACCGCCTCAAGCATCTAAAGCCGAGAAACAAGTCCACACGAACACCAGCTTTCACTTCTGTCTACCACAGCACAGAGATGAAACTACTGTAATTTCCCTGCATCCCTCAAGAAGTACACAAAAGGGAAACTTTCTAATGAAATAAACAGCAACGTGAAGTGCTGTTTTTATGAAATTAGGGCAAAACTAATTAGGCTGGTGCAGTAGAAGATGGAAAGGGGACAGCGGACAGAGGCCTAAGGGGAGCAACAACAGCAATGAGGTCAAACTATCTCCACCCATTTCAGCGCAACGCTCCATTTGCACACTACAGGCATGTGGGAGAAGGGTCTGCGTAAAATCGGTCTCTCGTCGAAAGAGGTGGGAACCTCTGTGACAGAATGTGATGGCAATGCGAGAACTGAAACAGGCAGGATGAAAGTGAAACACGGCTGATGATGATGCAATCCAAAACAAGCACTTACTATTTCTCTAAACTAATTCTACTTTTGTGAAAGTGCTTCGGTGACAAGATTGAGGTGTCATCGCGAACAAAAACAAATGCAATTAGTTGGACTAAATAAAGATGAGCTCCTCATTGTCAGATGATACTGATAGACAGGGACTGCTTATTAAAATTAATCTCCAAATCTACAGAAAACATTCAAATCAAGCGACAGAAACGATGAATCATAAGCTAGCAATTCCCATTAGCAGCAGACTATTAAACCTGTCTGAGCAGATAAACGAAGCCGAAACATCTTTACAAAACAGGGTCACAGAGTAGGATACTAAACATTTATGGTTAAAGTTATTGATAGTTCACTCATGTTATATTGAATAAACAAATATCTGCCAAAATAAAAATATGGATGGATGAATCTTTATATATAGGACTAAAGTTTGGAAACATTAATATTTGTAATGTTTTTGAAAGAAATCTTTTATGCTCAACAAGCCTACATTTATTTGGTCACAAATACAGTAAAAACAGTAATATTGTGAAAAATAATAACAGTTTAAAATAATGGATTTCTATTTTAACATACTTTAAAATATCATTTATTTCTGTGATGCAAAAATGCTGTGATGCTCGTCTTCAGTGTCACATGAAATCATTCAGAAATCATTAATATGATGATTTATTATCAACTTTGTAAACAGTTGTGCTGCTTAATATTTTTCATAACCTGTGAATATTAAAATATAAATATTTTGTACAATATACACTACTGTTCAAACCTTTGGGGTCAGTATTTTATTTTTTAAATAAATTAATAGTTTTATTCAGCAAGGATGTGTTAAATTTATAAATAAAAAAAAGTGATAGTAAAGATTTATATTGTTAGAAAATATTTCTATGTTGAAAGAAATGCTGAAACTTTTTAATCCTCAATAAATCCTGTAAAAAGTATCACAGGTTCCAAGAAAATATTAAGCAGCACAACTATTTCCAACAATAACTGAGAATTAAATCAGCATATTAGAGTGATTTCTGAATGATCATGTGACACAGAAGACTGGAGTGACGGTTGACGAAAATCCAGCTTTGCGTCACAGAAATAAATTATATTTTAAAGTATACTAAAATAGAAAAACATTATTTAAAATTGTAATAATATATCACAATATTTGTGTGTTTTTCCATTTTTTTTAGTCAAATAATTGCAGGATTGATGAGCATAAGAGACTTTTTTTCAAAAACAAATAGTAATGTTTCCAAACTTTTGACCGGTACTGTATGCATATATGTGAACCATAGACTGTAAAAAATTAGGACAAAGCGATGTGAACACACATCAACGTTAAATAGAGATAGACGGTAGCTAACTGGGCCGACTCTGATAATATGAGGTTAACGGCGATACTGTTGTTGTTGTTGCTGTGATTCCGCTCAACTGTCTGTTAGAGCGGATGTTCACATTAAACGTGGCAATTAATCGAACTAAATAATGACAACCGCAAAGTTTGAAAAATTAGGTCATAAATATGTTTCACAATTTGCCAGAGAGTCTTTTCGTGCATTAATCTTCTTCCAGTTTGCAAAAAAAAAAAAAAAAAAATGTCATAAATCACGTTTACGCCCATCGAGAAGTTCATTGATGCCATTGAATCGGACACGGACTTTCTGAAACAGAAAAATGAAACATAAAACAGAGTTTATCCTCCGAACTTACCCAAAGCTCAGTGCCCCAGTCCATGTTCAGCTCTCCTACCGCTTTCCCTCCTCTATTAACGTGAAAAGTTATCCCAACTTACGAGAGCAACATATGTTCAAAATAGGATCAAATAAAGCGGCTCATATCTTTCCCACATTCACGCGCAACACAGAACAAAATCGGTATGGTTCTCCAGCGCGAGCTACTTTGTGGCGGCGGCACAAATACTTTTCGTTGCAGTCTTGCAGAGCAAGAGAAGGATCAACTGGATTTCATTGCCGCGTCACTCCCAGATCCCTAATTCTTAAAGGAGCCGCCGGATCCAGTTTCCAGCTTTCAGACTGCATGTCGATCAACAGACGAAGTGAGAGTACTTCAAACCAGAGGGAATAACATTATATGACCTTTACTAAATTATTAACACCACAGACCAACAATCCAAAAATACACTCTGAAACCATTTTCCATTCATTTTATTAATATTATAGAAACATTTAGCTGATATGAAGCTGATATCCAAAGGGTTCATTGGGGTTCTATATATGAAGCATAGGGTTCTTTACTCAACTCCAAAGAGCCTTTTATGCAAAAAAAGAGGTTCTATAATGACAAGAAAGAACCCTTATGGCACAAAGGTTCTTTATAGGCTATTATTAATTCATATATTACATTATTCTTCAACATTTTGTAGTTGTAATTATATTATTGTTTACTAAACTGTTGTAGTAACTTAATATCACATTTTAATCATGCTGAGAAAAACTGAAATGGCACTCTTCGTGTGATATTGATTAACTACATAAAATAATAGAAATATATACATTTATACATATATACATTTATATAAATATATACATACCCCCATATCTTGAATTTTATGATCATTCACGTGCAGTCATAAATACATTTTAAGGTCTTGATGTTTGTCAATAATATGAAAGGACAAAACAAATGATAATGAATGAACCCAAAAGGTTCCATATAGAACCTTTTTCCTGGTTACAAAGAACCCTAAAGGGTTTATTGAACCCTTTAAAAGGGTTCTGTATAGAACCTTTTAGGGGTTCCAAATACGTAGCACGGATAGAACCTTTTAAAGTTCTGTATAGAACCTTTTCTTCTTATCAGTAGATGACTAGTTTGAAGAAATGCATTAAAAAAATCAAGTCACACAATATTTTAACGAATATTTTGACTGTCTGAATTAAGAGAAGCTATTTATTTATTTATTTATTTTTTGTAAAGAGTAGTATGATCTTTTATTATTATATTTTTTTTTAAATCTGCAAAATTCATTTTTTTAAACGTGTTGTACAGTATTTAAAAGAACAAAATAGGCTTATTACTATCTACCAATACAGAATTCAACTACAGACAGTGGAATGTAACGAAGTACAAATACTTTGTTACTTTACTTAAGTACATTTTTCATGTATCTTTACTTTACTTAAGTATAAATAGTGCATACTTTTTACTTACATTTTGCAGCAATTATTATACTTTCTACTCCACTACATTTCTACAACTTCTGTTACTTTTTCATTACATTTTCTGATCAGTTTTTCCCCTGCCAAAACGTAATCTGACCATCCGTTCGTTGCACGTTTGTCTCACCAGTGACGTTTGGTTGCCATAGATACATCAACCCGGTCACACTAAATGTGTCTCGCACACAGTGTGTTTATCGTGCAATTTATATGCAAAAATTTGTTTTTATGTGCATAGGAATGTGCATGTGTAATAGGCCTATACATTTGGTTAGGATTAGCCTATGGCAAGCCAAGAGGTTCAGAATTATACCATAAATTAATCGCGTTTACTGCCAAAGATAGTTATTAATATAAGCATGATGTGTAGCTATATTGTCTAATTGCAAGCTTGTTTCAGATATGGTGACAACAATTTTTTTCCATAATTATTGAACATCATTATATAGGCGTATTAGGTGGAACGAGTTAGAATTAAATGTTTTATTAATCATTAGAAAAAAATAGACATTAAGAGAATAAATTGTTATGCAAGTACTTTTACTTTTAATACTTAAATAAATCGGGTACTTTTTACTTTTTACTTAAGTATGGTTGTCATTGTGTTACTTCTACTTTTACTAAAGTAAATATTTATCTGTTTATTTGTACTTTTACTTAAGTACTGAGATTCAGTACTTCTTCCACCACTGACTACAGATCATCATTTATGCATAAATATTTCTATTAACCCAACTTTAAACCCACAATCTCATGGTAGGTAACACTTTTGTAAAGCAAATAAAAGTCAGGATGGTATAGGCTAACCAACATACAGGATAACATTTTGTTGTCATGTGATAAGAGAACCTGATACGTTGATACGTTTTAAACGTTTCTTTTTTTTATCATCCAAGACATTCTTCTTTGACACTGACACATAGTCACACACTTGACAGCGCATGCTGCTATGAGCTTTTACACATTGATGGCCCGGTTTCACAGACAGGGTTTAGATATTAAGCCAGGATTAAGCCTTAGTTCAATTAGGGCATTTAAGTAGAATAGTAGTGCATTCGGAAAAAAACAGCTCTGGTGTTGATCTTGAGATAAAACAATAGCTCTGACATGTATTAAAGTAAGGCCAGTGCAAGTAGCTTTCAGTTAAAACCTGCAATCTTGTCTGTGAAACTGGGGGATAGATAGCCCACCCGTTATTTTTGAACGTATGTAATGAATGATGGTCAATAGGCAATATCATCTTTGTTCAATATTAGCATTTGCCTCCATTGTTTAACAGTTGCATTTCATACGACTTCACTGGCTGTAAATGATAACTTCCCCTTGATTTTTTCTTTCTCCACAGATAGATAACTGCGATGATTATAATTAGGACTACAATTACCGCTAAAACAATTAGATTGTAGTTTGGAGAGTTGCCTAGAAAGGAAAAAGCAAAATGTAGGTTCAGTTAATGTAAAACTCAAAATATTTGGCATAACATTCATTTTGTGGTTAAATGACTCAACAGTGCAATATCACATAAACCAAAATCTGGGGGCTAAATATCAAATCATTACCACAATTGTTGCGCTAACCTCTTATCTTCACTTCGAAGGTCTTGTCCTGGTGTCCAAGTAGATTCGTGGCATTGCATGTATAAACTCCTGCACTGGCTCTGTCGATGTTAAAGAGGATGTGGCGCCTCCCAGTGGAGACGTTCTTGTTTTGAAAGCTCCAGGTCATTTCAGGCTCTGGGTTACCAGTCGAATTGCACTCTAGGGTTATATGGCTGCCTTCATCCACATCAAACTTGTCCTGGCTGGCATGCAACACTGGGGCATCTGTGTTGGAAGTAGAACATTTTCTTTTTTATTTCAGTGTCGAAGGTTGTTAAAAAAAAACATATATAAAGTATTGAAGAATATTTTTTTCAAAGAGATAAAGAGATATTACAATATATTTTTTACTAACAATATACAGTAATGTTGAGATGTTTTGACGGGGCTGTTGGAGGAGGTTGAGGTCCTTCTTCTCCCAGTTCTAGCTTTGCTTCACACCAGTACTGAGCTCCATCATCAGCTCTGTCTGGACGGATCAGGAGTTTAGATGTTTTACTGACTGGAGTCTTGATGGTGTCAGTGAAGTTGGTTTGATCCACTTGAGTCTGTCCTTTGTACCAGATGATAATGAGATTCTGAACTGGAGCCACATTGAGAACGTCACACTGGAGCTCATACTGGTTTCCCTCCATCATTGGTCCGTTGTGATTCACAGTGCTGATGGACACACTGTCTGGAGTCTCTGTGGAGGAAGATTTACACTCTCTGATATCTGCAGTCATCAATGTACAGTAGATATTTCTGAGAATATAAAAGTATCAATAACAGAGAAACTCACTGTAAATAGTCACTGGGAGAGGTACTGTACACTGTCCCTTATAGTTTATGTAGCAGATTGGCTCTATGTCCCAGTCTGTCAGATCTGACACTCTCCATGTGATCAGACTGTCTTTGCTCATGGGCACTGCTCCCTCACTGGCTTCCCATCCCATCCCTTTATGCGGGACAGAAGTGCTGCAGTCGGCTGAGACAGAACCGCCGAACTCCACAATAACTCTCTGTGGGTTGAGCTGAACTGGACAATCGCCGTCTATAATTGGATGTGATTGAAAACAAATGAATCTCTATCACAGAATAACAGCGTCATTTATAATCAGTTTGGGCACTCACTCGTCTATCTAGTGATAAAAAAAAAATAAAGTAGTAATGCTTTAGGAGTCAATTACATTGAACACATTTAAGAACACGAGATGCAGGGCAGTGGAAAAAAAACGTGTAGAATTGAAAATGATACAAAAATGAACACAGTTACCTTGTATGGACACTTTTACACTTCTGATGGTGCTGCCAACTGAATTAATTGCAATGCATTGCAGATCCTCAGGTGTTGATTCTGTTATAGTAAGATTTTCACTATAGACTATATCAGTTGTCCCGAGATTCCAGCTGATTATTGGTGTTGGGTTTCCCTCGGCTTCACAAACAATCTCCACTGGATATCTTCGAAACACAAGCACTTTGGAGGGCAGTTTGGTCCCATTGATGATCGGTCCATCTGCAGGAAGGAGTGAAAGAAAAACAGTTTAAGAGGTTTTGTATCTGCATCTTACATTTCTTATGTTAATCCATGTTAATTTTAATCTTGTAACAAAACTCAAAACTAACTAAATTTAGAAATGTAACAAGAGTTACACACTGGCTGTGTCTGTAATCGCATAGTCTCATGAGTAGGTACTTATTTTGAGTAAGTAATTGCTTCATGGCCGCCAAAATAGTTTTTTTCTATAGTATGAATGTGTTTAGGAATGTAATCTAGACGAACTACACTCGCCATGCTGTCTTCATCATGTGACCGGCGTCAGTTTAGTCGCTTCACTGCCATTCATAAATCCTCTCCTGTGGCCTCATGGGATAGTGTCTATTGTATGTCTACTTTTTTGTGAGTACTGTAAATTCAGACATACTCCTTGGGTCATAAATTGTTTTCACCAACTATATTGTAGAATAGTTTGCGATTTCGGATCCAGCCACTGTGTCACATGGTAAGGGCTACAACCAAAAGTCTGATTCGGACAACAGATTTTCTTAAAAGATGAATGATAAAAGCTGATGGATCTTACTTACAATATACAGTAATGTTGAGAGGATCTGATGTGACTTCAGGAGGAGGTTGAAGTCCTTCTTCTCCCAGTTCCAGCTTTGCTTCACACTTGTACTGAGCTCCATCATCAGCTCTGTCTGGACGGATCAGGAGTGTAGATGTTTTACTGACTGGAGTCTTGATGGTGTCATTGAAGATGGTGTCAGTGAAGTTGGTTTGATCCAGCAGAGTCTGTTCTTTGTACCAGCTGATAATGAGATTCTGAACAGGAGCCACATTGAGAACGTCACACTGGAGCTCATACTGGTTTCCCTCCATCATTGGTCCGGTGTGATTCACAGTGCTGATGGACACACTGTCTGGAGTCTCTGTGGAGGAAGATTTACACTCTCTGATATCTGCAGTCATCAATGTACAGTAGATATTTCTGAGAATATAAAAGTATAAAAGTGACCATTCCCAAATAAATATATTTAAGCAGACCACTCTCAAATATATATATTTTTTAATATCAGACAAACACACACAAAATGTGTAAGCCAACAATTATGAAAAAACAAAACAATCACAGTTCCTTTCTGTATGTATTACTAAAACAAACTGAAATTGGCAATTAAACTAAGTCACTTAGAATTGAAAATGATACAAAAATGCACAGTTACCTTTTAACACCACTTTTACACGTCTGATGGTGATGCCAGCTGAGTTGTTTGCAATGCAGTGCAGATCCTCAGGTGTTGATTCTGTTATAGTAAGAGTTTCATTATAAACTATATCAGTTGTCCCGAGATTCCAGCTGATTGATGGTGTTGGGTTTCCCTCGGCTTCACAAACAATCTCCACTGGATATCCTCGAAACACAAGCACTTTGGAGGGCAGTTTGGTCCCATTGATGATCGGTTTAACTGCAGGAAGGAGCAAAAAACAGTTTTTAAGAGGTTTTGTATCTGCATCTTAAATTTCTTATGTTAATCCATATTCATTTTAATCTTGTAACAAAACTAAATTTAGAAATGTAACAAGAGTTACACACTGGCTGTGTCTGTAATCGCATAGTACTTATTTTGAGCAAGTAATTACTTCATGGCCGCCAAAAAAGTTATCTTACGAGAGGTTCTCTCGTATTGCGTAAGCTAGCTAACGCTACGGGAAAGATTAATCTTTTCTGAGATATTGAAGCCAAAAAATGATCCTTAATTTTTGTATCCATTGTCAACGCAGTGCAGCAGCTGCAGACCTAGAGCGGGATAGCTAACGAGCTCATTGGTTGCTCTGCGGCAAACTGCTGCAGCCTATAGATGAACTTGAGTGAACTCGCAATGAGAGGCTTGCGCCGTCATTGCTTCATAGCCCATCAGAAGGGGCGTGGCTAAAGTGTATTTAAGTGAGGTTCGGAGGCTGCATCCCTGGTTTTCATCTCTTCAGAGAAGCTCTTCGCATCTCTGAACTGCAGAAGCCGCGTCGCCCTTTCAAGGGGCATCTAACAAGCTTGGACAGCGCTTGAAGAAGCCGGCCGCCTTCGCCACCTTCAGCCATCCTGCGAGCTACGCCATCCGGCGACGTATCCTTTTTAGCAAGCTAGTTCCTCAGCGAACTTCACAAAAGAGCAAGCGAGCGTCTTTGTAAAGATGCCTCGCACCACCTGCGGCTCATGCCGAGCCCCTCTCAGCGCCAGAGACCGCCAGCTCATCTGCGCTCTCTGTCTGGGACTGGAACATGCAGAGCTCGCTCTCGCTGGCGGCAGATGTGACCTCTGCGAGGAGCTTCCGATGTCGACCCAGCGGGCTCGACTCAAAGCATTCAAGACCGAAGCCGCCGTGCCACCTTTCGTACCGCGCCAGAGTCGAAGGGGAACTAATGCGCCTCCTCGCGCAGGCCATCAACCGCCTCGGGCTCGAGTGGTCACCGCCTCCCGAGCTGGCTCCCAACAGACTCGACACCTGCTTTCTCCAGAGCCACCGCTGCACGGCCCCCTTCCTGCCGGAACTTCACGCTGAGCTCACTAAGTCATGGAACGCGCCTCTGTCGGCCAGGACCCGGTCCCATGTCTCCACCTCTCTCTCTTCGGTGGATGGCGCCACCGAGAAGGGCTACTCTTCCATCCCCCCTGTCAAGGACTCAGTAGCAGCACACCTTTGCCCGCCCTTTGCGAGATGGCAGTCTAAGCCTGTGCTCCCATCCAAGGCCTGCAGAACTACTTCCGCTTGAGTTGGCGTGTCTTCGGGAGTGGGATGAGAAAGGCAGGCGACCAGAGGCTGTTTCAGATTTAAGGAACACGACGGATCTCTCCCTTCGCACCTCGAAATCTGCAGCTCAAGCCCTAGGAAAGTGCATGGCCGTGCTGACTGTTACCGAGAGACATCTTTGGCTAAAGCTTGCCGACATGGGAGAATCTGAACGCGCCACGTTCCTCAACGCGCCGCTCTCTCCTTCCGGTCTCTTCGGTTCCGCGGTGAGTGGCATTGTTGACCGTTTCTCTGAAGTCCAGAAAGCCACCCAAGCCATGAATCTCTTCCTGCCTCGTCGCACTAGCTCCTCTGCAGGCCGCCCACGTGACCAGCCTCCTGCACTAGCCTCTTCACAGCGCCCAGCTTAACACAGCCAGACTTCTCAGCGTCGACAGGGCGGCTGCCCTAGATCGCACTCAGACAGCCGCTGCAGACTGCCGCCCCCCCCGGCGGGCCTCGGCATAAGATCGCGCTGAAGCCTGAGCAACCCAAGTCCTCTTGAGAAAACGTTGAGAAAACGACGGCTCAGTCCCACCGCGGCCGGACCACCGTCAAAGCTTCGCTTCCCGTCAGTCCCCTTCTCTCAGGTTACTGCATGGTGGATTCAGCAGCCAACAAGCCGGTGACGCTACCCGCCGGTGACACTACCCGCTTGCATGCACCCAAACGCCGTTTTCACGGCAACCCAGAGAAATCTCTTAAAGAGCAAACATGCCCTATGTGTAGGAAATGTGCCCACAATCCAGTGTTCACCCCTACACACAAGCATTACACTCCCCGTGTCCCTATCAGAGCCCACTCCCATAAAGCTGCACCGCCCGCTCGAGTGTTAGAGGTAATAAGCGCGCCCTTTCTCTGTCCGCTCTGTCACACGACCAGCAAACACCTCTCTGAATGTGTGGCAGTGGGCTGGGCTTCCCTCTCCACCTTTGTCAGATTTTAAATTATGGAAGTGCCCGCCCTGCAGACAAAGCTATTAGCAGTTTAATACGCTACAGCTCCCCTGGTGAGCTGCACAGCTGGGCAGCGCCGCTCTGTTGTTCCCTTCCCACTACGTGCTTATGTATTACACACACCACTGGCCCGCACTCTTGCTGGCCACTTTTATTCATGGAGCCCCCCCCCCCCCCGTTTTTTTTCGTTTCAGTCAATGAAAACCAGGGATGCAGCCTCCGAACCTCACTTATATACACTCTAGCCACGCCCCTTCTGGCAGGCTATGATGCAATGACGGCGCGAGCGCCTCTCATTGGGCGCGAGTTCACTCAAGTTCATCTATAGGCTGCAGCAGTTTGCCGCAGAGCAACCAATGAGCTCGTTAGCTAGCCCGCTCTAGGTCTGCAGCTGCTGCACTGCGTTGACAATGGATACAAAAATTAAGGATCATTTTTTTGGCTTCAATATCTCAGAAAAGACAAATCTTTCCCATAGCGTTAGCTAGCTTACGCAATACTCGTTCCCTCATCTAGAGAGAACCGAGGTTATGTTAGGTAACCGATTCGTTTTTTTTCTATAGTATGAATGTGTTTAGGAATGTAATCTAGACGCACTACACTCGCCATGCTGTCATCATCATGTGACCGGCGTCAGTTTAGTCGCTTCACTGCCATTCATAAATCCTCTCCTGTGGCCTCATGGGATAGTGTCTATTGTATGCACACTTTTTGTCTACTCTTTTGTGAGTACTGTGAATTCAGACATATACTCTTTCATATACTGTTTTCACCAACTATATTGCAGGGAAGTTTGCGATTTCGGATCCAGCCACTGTGTCACATGGTAAGGGCCACAACCAAAAGTCCGATTCAGACTTTAACAGATGCTCTTAAAAGATTAATGATAAAAGTTAATGGTTCTTACTTACAATATACAGTAATGTTGAGATGTTTTGACGGGGCTGTTGGAGGAGGTTGAAGTCCTTCTTCTCCCAGTTCCAGCTTTGCTTCACACCAGTACTGAGCTCCATCATCAGCTCTGTCTGGACGGATCAGGAGTGTAGATGTTTTACTGACTGGAGTCTTGATGGTGTCAGTGAAGTTGGTTTGATTCACCAGAGTCTGTCCTTTGTACCAGCTGATAATGAGATTCTGAACAGGAGCCACATTGAGAACGTCACACTGGAGCTCATACTGGTTTCCCTCCATCATTGGTCCGTTGTGATTCACAGTGCTGATGGACACACTGTCTGGAGTCTCTGTGGAGGAAGATTTACACTCTCTGATATCTGCAGTCATCAATGTACAGTAGATATTTCTGAGAATATAAAAGTATCAATAACAGAGAAACTCACTGTAAATTGTCACTGGGAGAGGTACTTCACACTGTTTCTTATAGTTTATGAAGCAGATTGGCTCTATGTCCCATTCTGTCAGGTTTGAAACTCTCCATGTGATCAGACTGTCTCTGCCCATGGGCACTGCTCCCTCACTGGCTTCCCATCCCAATCCTGTATGCGGGACAGAAGTGCTGCAGTCGGCTGAGACAGAACCGCCGAACTCCACAATAACTCTCTGTGGGTTGAGCTGAACTGGACAATCGCCGTCTATAGAATTGGATGTGATTAGAAACAAATGAATCTTTATCACAGAATAACCTATATGCCTGTATAGCCCAATGTATGTCTATCCCTATTGCCTAAAAGAGTAGTTTCGGACCATTCTCAAATAAATATATTTAAGCAGACCACTGTCAAATAAATATATATTTAATTTCAGACAAACACACAAAAAATGTGCACACAGTATACACACCTCATGTCATTCTAAATCAGTAAGACATTTTTCGTCTGTGATGAGTCATTTTGGCTGCAGTGGTTTGGTGTGTTTAGTGGTTGTTAAGGCATTGAGCTTGGAAACAACCACCAACCAACTGTTTGAATGAATTTAAAAGATGCCTTAAACATTATTCAAAAGACCACAGTTACTGTATCAATCTAAAAACATATTCAGTGTCTATAAAAGTTCATGAAATGATCTCATTCATTTGTTTCCACCCTGAGTACCACAAAGTGAGCACACAAATTGTGTTAACTTTTGGGCGTTAGAAGTGTGAAACCTACTTGAAGGACTGTCAGCATGTGGTTTAGTTTCTGTTCAGAGACTTAACAAGTGAAAAACCTTTCTAAATAGTTGAAAAGTTAACACTCTAAAAAAAATGCTGGGTTATTTCAACCTAAATTTGGATCAAATATTGACAAACCCAATACAACCCAAGACATTTTTTATTTAAAACAACCCATAAAAAACAACCCAGCATTTTTTTATTGTGAAGCTTTATGATAGTAAAAAAAATGTTATTGTGTCTGGCTTTAGAAATTAATATCTTTTCTCAGTTAAAATCAGATTGAACACTTTGAAAAGTTCCATAGATTTAAAACATTTTCATATTAAAAAGAACATGCAGATCTAACAACATCATCAACATCATGAGATCATCATCTCATGAGACCATCTCAAGAAAAACAGATCTGGTTTTTAGTACTGTAGAAATAGGGCTACAAAGACGTGAAAGAAACAGGGTTACAAACATTATTAACTCTATTCCAGGAGGGCTGTTTGGCCTTTTAGCCATGACAATGCTTAAAGACATGACTGAAACCACAGAAAAGACAAAATGGAGAGAACTTACCGCCATGAACAAAGGTGAAGATCAGCAAGAGACTTATCAACCGTAGAAGCAGAAGCATTGTCGGCACAAACAAATGATTGGCAGTGATGAAGCGGTGATGCCGGAGATGGATGATAGATGTTGAAAAGGATCTATTTTCTTCTAACTGTCAAAAGCACGGTGTGATGCTTCTAAGCGAGCAATTGAACAGGAAATCCTGCTCAGACTCACATTTTAGAAGAGGAAGCCCACAAGTGTGAGGCAATGTTTTTTGACGCAAAAAATAAATCAAAAATGTATAAAAGTTTTAAAAATGAATACTGTAGTATTGTCTTACTTTTATTTTCAAGTTTGGATGATATTCTGGTAGTGACTAAAAAAATATGTAAATTTTATATGCAATTTTACAAAAATAAGACAATAAGACAGTTAAACACAACTCAGTCTAATGCATATATACCAGAATACAAAACTGCATCAGAAAAAATTCAAATCATGTCTTTGGTCTAACAACATTAAGAAAACTTTAAGGCTAAATCCGCAATGAAAAAAATAACTCATTTAGTGCTCATTGTCACATCTTTGTGAAAAGGTACAGTGGCACTCTTTCTGTCTGCTGAGTTTTTTCAGTTCAGCTTAGGCAGGTTTGATCATCATGGCCACTTTCTTTAGGGCGTACGAGCCTCCGTGGAACTCCGCCCAGTAAACGCCATCCTGGTATCGGCTTCTGTAATGGCCGCCTCTGTACCACACACCGTTCAGGTTTGAGTGAGCACACATGTGGTACCACCAACCGCCCTTCTGGTAATGAGCGCAGTTACCTATGGAGGACAGAGAATGTGGCTTTTAAAATAGTTTTAAGTAGGGCTGGGAATTGAGACAAATTTCACAATTCGATTCGATTTCGATTCACAAGCTTGCAATTCGATTTGATTTCGATTACGATTCGATTCGATTCGATTCAATATCGATTATTTTGGATATCAGTTACAATAAATGGCCATTTTTCTCAAGGGAATCAAATCTCTTAAATGCTGTAAACTATGGGAGTCTAGTTGTAGCCTATAGACCTCATTAGCCTAATATGCAGGTAATAATGAACTGTTTTGTAGCCATACAAACACTTCATTTTTTAAAACTTTTATTTATTTTTATAAGAAGATTATATGAAATATAAACATTTAAATGGTGGCTGTCATAAAAACTTGCCAGATTTATTCAAATATGCATTAAATATTGAAGAACATTAAGATTATAATGCATATGTTGTGTTGTATATATATAGCAAAATGCTCCTCTCTAGAGTTATTTTTTCTAGCTGACTAACGAGTTGATGTGGGTTTTCTGAGGTAAATATGACGATGACATTGATTACAAGCTGTTTAAATGACGTCTTTCCTCGGTTGAAACGCTGATTGAGCGAATCAATGTGACATGATACGGATTTCGATAAGTTGTACTCTATCTTTTAACACACTTTCAGATGCTCATTCATGTTTATTTGGTGCTGTGACTGGTATTATTAACCCGGAAGAGAGATCAGCGCTGCTGCTTCTCTTGAGCTGCGCCAGAGCGATCTCACGCCACAGCGCCAAAACACTATTTATGTTTTTGAATTTCTAAAGAAAATGGACGTAATTTAAAAATTGAGACTTTTGTTTAATATCAATAGCAACAAAGGACAAAGATTATTGCGATTTTTATTGGATGCGCGCAGCTGCGATGCAATGTCCCATTCGTTCAAATGAAACAGGATGACTAATCGATTCTTGAGATTTAAGAATCGATATCGGTTCGTAAAAATGACAATTGATTAATATCGAGAAATCGATATTTATTACCCAGCCCTAGTTTTAAGGACAGAAAAGAGGCAGGGAAATAAAATAAAATAATCGACAGATCACCTGAGTAGGCATCCTTATCGCGGTCCAGAGTAGTAAACGCTTTATTGTTGTGCCATGAGAGAGAGTCTCCTGCACTGCCTTGGTAACTGCCTAATCGTAGACGATACCAGTCGCTCTCTGCTTCCACCTGAAAGCTGTCGTACTCCGCAAACACCTGTCGTCCTTGCCAGTCTTCCATAGCTACTCGCAGCTTGTACTTGGCCTGCGAGGTGAGCCAGTACAGGTGCTCCAAACCCAGCCAGTATTCTCCATCCAGATTCCCAAAGCCTTGCTGTGTAAAGGAAATAGCCATGTATTTAATTTTGCATTAAAAAGTACATTGTTTGCATAAAAATGCAGATTATTATGCTCATTAGCGCCCCCCATGGACACTGTTTTGCGCTTATGTGGCATTATGTGGAACGACCATCAGTTGTGTAGGGTCATTGACTACGGGACCATTTACACAAGCTGTTTTCAAGTAAAAATGGAAAAAAAATTAGAGCTGTCTAATGATTAATCGCGATTAATCGCATCTATAATAAAAGTTTGTGTTTAAATAAAATATGTGGGTGCACTGTGTATAATTATTTTGTATATATATAAATACACTAACATGCATGTATATTTAAGAAAAAAATATTATTTATATATAAAATATTTATATTTATATTATATAAATTATATATAAATCTATATACAGTATATACATGAAAATATTTCTTAAATATATACAAACATGTGTGTGTATTTATATATATAAAATAATTATACACAGTGCACCCACATATATTACGGAAACATAAACTTTTATTTTGGATGTGATTAATCGCGATTAATCGTTTGACAGCCCTAAAAAAATATATACGTTTTGGCCATTCATTCACACGAAAACAGCATTTTGGGGGCCTGAAAACTCAAAGTTTTGAAAATGGGTTTCAAAGTGCACGTTTTTTGGAAACCATTTTGTATAAACTACACAAAATGTGAATTTGTGAAAATAAAGAGCATTCTTATTACAAAGCGACATCGCCAACTACTGGCCTGGCATGAATAATACAGTGTTTAGTCGTTTTCACTGTTTTGACGTCTGTCTAATAAAAAGCAAAGGAAAACCTTTTCTGTTTTTAGTACATCGTTGTCGTGTAAATGTATCTAAAATGATATAGACCATTGTAACCCATGGCTAATAGGTTTGAGATCAAAGATGAAATGCACTACAGTACACAACTTGTAACTTAAAATGTGAACACATCGTGTTCTAATACATCACACACTTCTTGCCGACTTTGCATATGCATATGCATGCAAGAATATGCATTCTTTCCTAATATATAAGGTTGCCAAGTGTTTTGTTTCATGCACCTTGTACTGATCCCAGGTTCTGAAGAAGTTGACCGAGCCATCCTGTCTCCTCTGGATGACGGTCCAGCCACCTTGAGCTCTGCTCTGGTCACACCAGGCCTGCAGCAGACGGTTCGTGTTGCGTGGTCGCAGCAGGTAGATGCCGCTGCTCTTCTCTCCGGACTCCAGCGCATGATGACAGTCATGCCACGGCCCTTTAAAGGAGACAGTGTGCTGCTCATTCAGATTTACTACATTCTCACATCACAATCATCTATACTACTGGTCAAAACTTTGGAATAATTAAAGGGATAGTTCACTTTGAACTTAATTTTTGGTATGTTTTATCTTACCTCGAGGGCATCCAAGATGTAGGTGTCTTTGTTTCCGCAGTATTTTCAATTTTGATATTTTTAGGTCAAACCGTTCTTGTCTGTCAGTCATATAATGGAGGTCTATGGTCACCACCTCAAGGAGCATGCACAGAGAAGTCCAAATTAAACATGATTTAATGACTCGTAAATGTAAGTACACATTGATGGCCTAAGACACGAAACGAGCGGTTTGTGTGAGAAAACAAACAGTATTTATATCGTTTTTACCTCTTGTAATCACAGTCACGTCCAAGTGATCTGAGGGTGCGGGCACTTTGTGGTTGTGGTGACAAGAGGTAAAACGATATAAATACTGTTGTTTTCTCACACAAACCGCTCGTTTCGTGTCTTAGGCCATCAATGTGCACATACATTTACGAGTCATTAAATCATGTTTAATCTGGACTTCGCTGTGCATGCTCTTTGAGGTGGTGACCATAGACCTCCATTATATGACTGAGACACGAACGGTTTGACCTAAAAATAACTGAGCAACTTTAGCTCTACATCTTTCACCCTTTTAGAGAAGTTAGGATAAGGGTGGTTTCTATGTTTGTAACATTTGTTTTGAGCACATGAGATGTGTGGCACAACAGACACTGTGGAGGAGCTGGACGAATGGTAAGGAAGGGCTGCGAGGTCATGATCTGTATACTGTATACAGGCGTCTCTCAGACTTCATTTATCAGCTCACCATAGAGGAATTCCCACTCCCACAAGCCAGAGAATTTCACCTATACAGCACATTACTGCCATCTTCTAGATACAGACTCAAATCTTAAAACAAATAATTTGTAGTGTGTAAAATATTTTTTTTTTTTCAAATTTGTATCTAAGTCTTTAATTTCTAAGCTTTTTTTTTTTTTTTATTGGCATCACAAAACTAAAAATTATAAAAAAGTATGTGTGTGGGTGGTGGGGGGGGGGGTTATGTTGAGCATTTTATTTTGAAATCATGTTATAAAATGATTTTACAGTGTTATAAATTCATTCAGCCTTGCCTTTCACTGTCTCCAAAGACTGTATAACTGTTCAGTCTTCTATCGTGTATGTCTAAATGTGCTCTAGTTTCTGTTTAGAGACTAACACCTACCTCGCCCTTTAAACACTTTGGCTACTAAAATAGTTACTTGTATCTGGCTTTAGAAATGATTATCACCTCTCAAATAAAACCAGATAGAAAGTTTTTTTGTAAAGTGCCATAGCCTTAAAGATGACCTTTATGCTTTTTTTTTTTTTAACATTTTCAACTTTCTTTTGTGTGTAATGTTGCTGTTTTAGCATGAAACGGGTATTCAAAGTTCCAAAGGACAAAGTCACTTCAAATGGGTTTTTTTTTCTATATCAACAAGCATTGTTTCTGAACTCAACACCTCCATTGTAGTCATGACTTTTCTTCCGAGAACGTACACATCCCTATATTCCTCATTTGAATGATTTTCTGATTATTTCAATGCTTTTGTGTTCTCTCACAAATTTTTGCGTTTCCCAAGAGACTTTGTGTCCGCTCAAAAGCATTGACACTTTGACACATTGACACATTTTTTTCAACCACCTTTGAAGTAGCATGTTAAACCCTGTGGTTATGATAAACGGCGTGACAATTCTGAAACACACTGGAAGCTGTTGACCAATCAGAGCACAATGCGCTTTTTAGAAGGAGGGGATTCACGGAGACAGGAACTAAACAGTTACTGACAGACTGGAAAGAGAGGTGCTGCAACTATAGCCGCGTTTCCATTGAAATTACGCGGAACAATTTGTCCTGTTCCAGACCTGTTGCTGTCTGCGTTTCCACCGTAGTCTAAAGTACCGCGAAGATTAGACAAATTAGTCCGGTGACGTAGCACTGCGCGCTACTTTACAGTTCCCGCTGGATTTCATCCTCTGAATTTAAGCTTAATGAAACCTGACCCTCATCGTCAGTCCATCTGCCGTATTTTTTAAAAACCATTGTTGATTCTAATAGAGGGTATGCGCGTGACGTCGCCGTCGGCCAGCAGTTACTCACAGTGAGTGGCAAAAAGACTGAGCGGCTGTATTTGTTGTTAGCGTAAATGCCGCAAAAAACAAACACAACACATATAAAGCGGGAAAGAGCTTTGCGATCGACTGTACAACTAGATTTGACAAAAAAATCTGAGGTATATTTTTACAGATTGCTATAGAAAGAGGAGTTCACAGTAGTGTTGGGCGATATGCTCCATTTTCATATCGTCCTATCGTCAGCCTGTGAGATCGGCGATACACGATATTATCTTGAGGGGGCGGGGCTAACTTATTTGATTATTAACTTGATTATTTAGCCTACTCATTAATTTGCTTGTTTTATTAGCCAACTTCGTTTTATATACGAGAATCTTTTTTCTATTTTGCTAGCAAAGGTGGAGTGTTTATTAATAGGATCAGGTTATTTCCTGGTATAGTGAGGTAAAAAAAAAAAGAGATCCCAATCCTTTTGTTTGTCAACGGGAAATTTACGGACACATTAGCCTATCCTCATGCCGTTACATGCAGCATTTGGACTAGGGTCTATTTCTGCACGAGATGAAAACACGTTTTAATAATTTCTTGGGTCAGAAAGAGTCGGAGTTTGCGATATGTGCCCCCCTACCAGTGCGCTCTCTGCGCACTTCACATGCGCACAGTAAGCACGAAGTACGCGGGTTAATGTGTTTTAAATGCCGATAGAAAGAGCAAGGGCCAAACGTCTAGCTGAGTCGATCGGTTTATACTTATAGTTATGACTTGACTCTGATAAAGGAAACGTTTACATGACCACATGCATTGTCAAGTTTATTCAACATAATCAGGTTAAGAACGTCGTCGCATGTAAACGCGCTCAATCTCTGAAAGTGAAAGTAAAAACGGACTGCTTTCGGCATCTGCATTAACGCCGCGTTCCCTCAGAGACGACGATGATAACGGTAACTATAATCCCAGCTAACAGGGAACGTTCTCAGAACTTTGGCTAACATTCCCTAGAGGTTTGGTTAATGTTTTAAATAAAACATTTGAATGCAATGTTTAAAGAATGTTTTAAGGATGTTTTCTCATTTCAAATAATGTTCCTATAAGGTTAAATGTAAACTAAGATATAACATTTTCACTGTAACATGTTAAGGATGTTTTGGGAATGTTGCTGAGATAACAGATTAAACAATGTTCTCAATAAAACATTAGCACAATATCTCATAATAACAGAGGAGGAACATTATCAAATCAACGTTCGCAAAATGTTTTGAGGATATTATTTAGGCCTGAGATGATGGAATGTTTTTATAAAACGTTCTTGTAATGTGACGTGTTAACAAAACTAGAACATTGTCACTGTAACATGTTAAGGATGTTTTGGGAATGTTGTTGAGATAACAGATATTAGAATGTTATCAATAAAACATTGGTACAATGTCCCATAAAAACAAAGGAGGAACATTATCAAATCAACGTTCGCAAAATGTTATGAGGATATCATTGAGGCCTGAGATGACTGAATGTTTTTTATAAAACATTCTTGTAATGCGACGTGTTAAGAAAACTAGAACGTTTTAAATTTAACATTTTGAGGATGTTGATGAGGTAAAGGTTTGTAGAATGATCTTTTATAAAATATTGAAACAATGTTCCATAATAACAGAGGAGGAACATTATCAGGTTAACGTTCGCAAAATGTTTTGAGGATATTATTAGTCCTGAGATGACGGAATGTTTTTTATAAAATGTTCTTGTAATGTGACGTGTTAACAAAACTAGAACATTTTTACTGTAACATGTTGAGGATGTTTTCGGAATGTTGTTGAGATGACAGATATTACAATGTTCTCAATAAAACATTGGTACAATGTCCCATAAAAACATAGGAATAACATTATCAAATCAACGTTCGCAAATGTTATGAGGATATCATTGAGGCCTGAGTTGATGGAATGTTTTTTATAAAACGTTCTTGTAATGTGACGTGTTTAACAAAACTAGAACGTTTTAAATTTAACATTTTGAAGATGTTGATGAGGTAAAGGTTTGTAGAATGATCTTTTATAAAACATTGAAACAATGTCCCATAATAACAGAGGAGGAACATAATCAAATTAACGTTCGCAAAATGTTTTGAGGATATTATTTAGTCCTGAGATGACGGAATGTTTTTTGTAAAATGTTCTTGTAATGTGACGTGTTAACAAAACTAGAACATTTTCACTGTAACATGTTGAGGATGTTTTGGGAATGTTGTTGAGATAACAGACATTACAATGTTCTCAATAAAGCATTGGTACAATGTCCCATAAAAACATAGGAATAACATTATCAAATCAACTTTCGCAAAATGTTATGAGGATATCGTTGAGGCCTGAGTTGATGGAATGTTTTTTTATAAAACGTTCTTGTAATGTGACGTGATTAACAAAACTAGAATGTTTTAAATTTAACATTTTGAGGATGTTGATGAGGTAAAGGTTTGTAGAATGATCTTTTATAAAACATTGAAACAATGTCCCATAAAAACATAGGAATAACATTAACAAATCAACGTTCGTAAAATGTTTTGAGGATATTATTTAGTCCTGAGATGATGGAATGTTTTTTATAAAATGTTCTTGTAATGTGACGTGTTAACAAAACTAGAACATTTTCACTGTAACATGTTGAGGATGTTTTCGGAATGTTGTTGAGATGACAGATATTACAATGTTCTCAATAAAACATTGGTACAATGTCCCATAAAAACGGAGGAGGAACATTATCAAATCAATGTTCGCAAAATGTTATGAGGATATCATTGAGGCCTGAGTTGATGGAATGTTTTTTAATAAAATGTTTGTAATGTGACGTGTTTAAACATTAACACTGTAACATGTTAAGGATGTTTTGGGAATGTTGTTGAGATAACAGATATTACAACGTTCTCAATAAAACACTGAAACAATGTTCCATAATAACAGAGGAGGAACATTATCAAATCAACGTTCAAAAAATGTTTTGAGGATATCATTGAGGCCTGAGATGATGGAATGTTTTTATAAAACATTCTTGTAATGTGACGTGTTAACAAAACTAGAATGTTTTAAATGTAACATTTTGAGGATGTTGATGAGGTAAAAGTTTATAGAATGATCTTTCATAAAATATTAAATGTAGGCCTACCATAATAACAGAGGAAGAACATAATCAAATTAACGTTCGCAAAATGTTTTGAGGATTATTTAGTCCTGAGATGATAAAATGTTTTTAATAAAACATTCCTTTAAATTGACTTTTTAACAAACATTTTGCATGATACATTTTGAGGATTTTTTGTCGAAATGTTGTTATCTTTTATAAATCATTGGCACAATAACAAAGGAGGAACATTATCAAAGCAACATTCATCAAATGTTTTGTGGACATTTACCTGAGATGACAAAATCTCATAATATATGTTAACAAAAGCTCATAAAATTGTAAGGATATTTTAAGGAAGCTGTTTAGGTAACATATTTTAGAATTATTTTAACCTATAGAATAATGGCATAATTTTCCATAATAAAAGAGGAACATTGTCAAAACAGCATACGTAAAGTGTTTTGAGGATATATTAGGCTACTCTGAACTGAACTGCTGCGACAAATGCGTTTACAAGAGATGAGAAGCTGATTGGAGGTCGCTGTAGATCAACGTTTAAAACCACCAATCACAGCGCGATGTTCCCATGACGTAAGAACATTTGAACTCGACAAACAGCGCAAATAAAGCAACGTTTCTGTTGAAGAACTCGGCGCAGAATGTCCGTTGTCTAAATTGGCGACACATTGGCCCAAAACAACAGAACTCCTGGTCAACGGAACTCTTTCACAACTGTAAGTTTTTGTGTGTATTTTTTCAGTTTACATAGCTTTCTCTTGTCCTTGATGTCTTTCAGTATTAGACCTAACTTTCTACTTTCTTAGAATTGTATGACAGTCGCAATAAATCTGAGTGTATGCTACTTTTGAATAACAGCTAGATTTGTTTTAATGCAGACTCCAAACGGACTGTTTCAAGATGATTAACTTACCGATCACACAATAAAGTCTCCATTTACAACCAAGGTAGCCTACTATAATGCCGGTATTGTGTTCTATGCATACGAATACTGTATTTTTACTTAAAAGTGATCTTAATGTCTTTTGAAAGTAAAAGTTAATAATATTTCAGTAATTCATATAACGTTAGAGGTTAACGTTAATGAATTGGAAAGAGCGTTTCTCAAGGCTTCCTAGGTGTATATAACATTCTTCTTTCAGATGAATACTATCTGAGTTATATTTAAAAAAATGTCCTGACTCTTCTGACTTTTAGAATGGCAGTGAATGGCCGTCTATCAAGGCGCATCCATCCATGATAAAAGTAATCCACCACATGACTCTGGCGGGGTTATAAAGCCCTTTTAAAGCGAAGCATTTGTGTAAGAAAAATATCCATTTTTAAAACTTTATTGGATTAAGATATTGGATACATGGATTAAGTATGTTTTAAATTACAGAAACAAAAAAGATACTCATAATTTATCATATTTACTTTCAATAAATTAGTCTTTACATAATTTCTGACTGCTAATTAGGCTGGCTAATTTTGAAAGTTTTCAATGTCAATATTGCTTGTGATCTTAATGTATGTGTATTCTTTATGTTTACACTTTTGCATGATCTTCTTTTTTAGGCTATGAGGAAAAACTCTACTGTGCACACAGAGAACAGAGCTCAATGCTAACTGGGGGAGCAGCTGGACAACTAGAAGAGAGAATAGTAGAACACTACTATTAATACAGATTCCTGGATTATTTTTCTGCAAGAACCAAAACAAGCAAAGACTGATGATGAGTGCTCTGAGCAAACACTGGAGTCAAGACGCATGAGTGACTTTACTGAGTTCTTCATGTAATGTTGGGCATTTACTGTACGCAGAACTTCTAATAATTTATGTGGATGCCATTTATAAACCTGTTAGATTTTGATGTTTTAGTTTTGAGATTAATAAAATGTTATGCTTTAACAATGTTATAGCTAATCATTTTTGAGGGGTTTTAAGTGAACATTTTGGGAACAAAAATAAACTTCCGCTAAAAACTTTATAAGAAAGTTAGGGGATAATGTTTTAAAAATGTTATGATTAAACCTTTATAGAAGGTCATCACAAAACATTTTCAGAGTGTTCATAGAGAATGTTATGCCATCTTTTAAGAGAACATTCTGGGAACAAAAAGAAAACTACCCGCTGAAAATGATATAAGAACGTTGGGGAATAATTTTCTAACAATGTTAGCATTTAACATATTTAGAATGTTTTTAGAGAATGTTATTAGAACTTTTAAGAGAACATTCTGGGAACAAAAAGAGAACTACCCGCTGAAAATGTTATAAAAAAATTAGGGAATAATGTTCTAACAATGTTAGCAATAAACATATTTAAAATATTTTTAGACAATGTTATTAGAACTTTTAAGAGAACATTTTAGGAACCAAAAGAAAACTACCCGCTGAAAATGTTATAAAAACATTAGGGAATAATGTTCTAACAATGTTAGCAATAAACATATTTTAAAATGTTTTTAGAGAATGTTATTAGAACTTTTAAGAGAACATTTTAGGAACCAAAAGAAAACTACCCGCTGAAAACATTATTAGAACACTGCATGGTAATGTTCTCAGAACATTTTTAGAACAAAAAAATCCTAGCTGGGATGCTATTTTAGTGATATTATTATTAATACTATTTAGTAATTGTATTGTTTTTAGTGTTAGTGTCATTAAACGTTTTGTTAATGTGTTACGGAAACAAATACTGACGAACAACGATGCCGTTTTCATCTTGGATCTGTAGGAAATTGAATTTTGCGTCTGTTAAAACGAGCACTTGATAATTTGTGAATGGATCACCTTGCAATTAAATTTTGATGTGGGATGTTTTTTAGTCTGTTTTAAAAACATTCTCTTAGAGGAGTCCTCATTAGTGCGTGTGTTGTTGCAATTGTTATTCATTTAATAACAATACTAGCTTTATAATAATAATAATAATAGGCCTAATAATAATAATTTAATACATTATGGTAAAACGAGCCAATTATCATATTGATATCGTCAAAGGCATCTGCCATCGGCGATATGTCAGACTATCGTCGATACACGATACTATCGTCTATCGGCACAACCCTAGTTCACAGAGTTCGCTGCAGTTCACAGAAACAACTCCAGTCAGCGAAAGGTGGATTTACAGTTATCATTTTGTGTTAATATGCTGAATTTAGCTGTAAAACCATACCCAAATATTTTGAATTGTTGGAAAGGAACACTATATTGCGTCCAACATTTAGTTTAAATTGATAAAATTGTTCGTTTTAGTCGCATTTCCGCAGTTTCCCCTATTAAATCCAGTCACACGGCAGATCTTTTGCCAGGGGGGTTGTTCCGGCGGGCAAGTGACGTCAATGCATTCCCTCTATACAAAACAACTGTTACTGCACGCACCGCAACAGATTTAAAAAAATGGTGGTTAAAATAAAATCCTGTGTTGAGTCAACCAATCAAAATGTGGCATTAACTCAACCAATCAGAATGTTCAGTGCCCAAGTCCCACCCCTTGAAAGTCCCTGAACTTTGAAAAGGGACTACCTCGCAAGGAGGGACTTTCGGAGGGGGAAATATTTATTACAACTTCATTTAGACCCGGGTTCCTCCACCGAGTACCAGCCCAAAGTCCCTATAGTTCCTGGGGAAAGTTTCTGCGGTGGAAACGCGGCTAATGTTAAATATGTGGGGAAACTTTTTTTTTAAATTCAAGTACGAAAAGCTATTCTAGTAGTAGTATATGAGTCGCCTGTAATTTATGAGTCAGCTGTAATCGCCGGCTGTAATTTGGAGACGACGTGCGTCCTGTAATCTCACACCCGAGTTGGTGAAGGCAAAAGCATTGCATTGTAATTCAAGGGTTGTGTGTGTCACAAAGCTTTAATAAAGGTGATGATTAACATGCATGTGTTTTGTGCATGTGTGTGTGTACTTGTGCCAATACACAGCTTTCAGCCTGAGCGCAGCTCTCACAGTCGGTAGGTCGTGTGAAGACTAATGAGGGTCACCACCTCTGATAAGACACTGTTTGGAATTCTCCGAGATAAAGCTTCCTGACTCCAGGTCACTAACACTCAAGGCTATTGAACTCCTACATGAACACAGATAGTTTCATATAACCCACATCTTCTGCTGAGGCAGATGTCACCAATTGCTGTTATAATTTAGAACAAACACTTAAAGGAGTAGTTCACTTTAAAAAAAACTTTAGCTGATAATTTAGCAAACATCATAAGTTGACCTCAGACAACAATATAAAAAAAATTAAAAAGCCAGTTCATGACCCCTTTAAGAGTGAAGCCTTTCGAGATTTTTATTCTACCTGGAGATTTAGTCACAGGGTAACTGATGAAAGGTGTGTCAGTTGGTGGACTGGGAACGTCATCGAACGTCTCCAGCTGTACTTGCAGACTCTGTTCCTGGTGCAAATGGACACTTTGGTCTCTTTGGACATTGCTGGCAACTTCTTTAGTCTCTGTGTTCTCACTCAACAAAGTACTTGTCTGTTGAACCGGAAAAGGTGTGGCTTCCTGTGTAAAGAGATTCATAAGAAATTGACCTTTCAGTTTTTTGCACCTACATACATACTATAGAGAAAACTGAGGGCTCAGATGGCTCTTACCTGCAGTGTTTTAGTGGGATTCTTGAGCTGGCACTGTTTCTCCAGATGTGAGATTAGTTGGCTCTGGTTGCTCACGAGAGAAGTGAGTGTGTCATACTTCTTTTCCAGGTCTCTGTAACTGCTGGACACCTGAAGCACCTGTCAGGATTTGGCATTAAACGGTTGCAAAGAGTGATCAAAATACTAGAAAAGTATAAAACGTCACAAGTGGTCCATAAAAATAACCTTTTCAATACATCCCTTGAGGAAAAGAAATGCATTCAATTGTATTGAATGTGCACTTGTAGTGTACTTCAAAGCTTAAAGTGATAGTTCGCCCAAAAATGAAAATTCTGTCCTCACTTTTTTCCCTCCATACTATGGAAGTCATCAACTGTTTGGTTACCAACATCCTTCAAAATATGAAGAGTTCAGATGCAAAAGCCTCTAAGTGCCATTTGAAATTTTCTTCTAGAATGATAATTTTTATCAAGCTTGTACAGTATATTTAAGTTCAGTAATTTCACTTAAATGGCAATGATAATTACCTATTAATTGTTATTTAAGTGAAATTACTGAACTTAAATATACAAGCTTGATAAAAAACATCATTAAAGAAGAAATTTTCAAATGGCATTTAGAGGCTTTTGCATCTGAAACTCTTCATATGTTCTTTTGTGGTCTGCAGAACAAAGAAACTTAGACAGTTTTGGAACAACTTGAGGGTGAGAGTAAATGATGACAGATGTTTCCTTTTTGAGGGAACTATCCCTTAAATATTAATTAATTTAAATGTATCTATCTCTGTCTGTCTGTCTATAGATCTATCTAATCTATCTATCTCTTAATTGCCTACAGAACACAAAGGTGAATAAACCATAAGCCAAGAGGAAAAGCCAGGAGCTCACATTTGTCACTCTCATGCTGCATTCCAGACGAGGTTAGACGTGGCGTGGGACTATCCAAATTAAAATACCCCACTTCAGACCTATCCTTCAGACATTAGTGAGTTCCAGGCGAGACGACGACACGTTCACATTTTGACCACATGATGTCGCTACACACAAGGAGAGCATATCGTATTTTTGAGTCAATTATGGACAAACCTAAATAAAAACAACATAAAATCGCTTTTAAAACAGCTGTCGAAAAGCAAAAAATTAGCTATTGTTTCATAAATGTTAAAGACTGTTTTTACGTCATATGTGCTCATTGGAAGCAGGACTTGCCGATATTATGGAATACGTCAAATGACGCGTCTCGCTGAGGTGGGGTTGATCGATGTACCAACGAGTCCACAGGTAATAATGCGCGCTTTGAGTGCCGTTTCAGCCATTATTTCCAAGAACGAGGTGGAAAAATACAAACTGCGAGCTGTCTAGAACGCAGCATCACACCATGCGTCAAACCTGACGAAACACACACGGGCGAATGACGTACGCAATTTCCCGCGAAAACCATCCTGACAGGTAACATACAGCTTTCCATTGTAAATCAGGAAAACATGTTTTAGAAGAAGTAGGCTGTTGATTTGTTCATTTTGAACAAAATAAAGCTACATGGGGTACATTTACATCAAAATACATTTTAATTTAACTGCAATTAACATGCAGTTACTCTTTTTAAAAGAATTCTCTTTTTCACAAGGAATTTTTGTTGTTAATTAAAATCTATGACTTTTCATTGCACATATTTTAGGTTTTGTAGCAATCTGCGCAGTTTGATGTTGAGATCGGAGACACTCTCAGGGAAAATATGAGCTGTCCAGAACGTTCCCCTAACATTCCCGTATGGTTCCCATTTGGTTATTTTTTGGGGAACCAAACAAGAACATTCTAGTAGGTTATTTTTAGGTTCTATTTTTATAACCTAAAAGGAATTCCCACAAAGTTCCCAGAGCCTTCCCCTAACCTTAAGGGAACGTTCTATTTACGTTAAGAAAACTTTCCTGAATCACCAATAGGTAACGTTCTGGGGAAAAAAAACAAACGTTCCCAGAACGTTAAATTGTTAGCTGGGTGGAGACTCTGCTTGCTCTCCATTTAATCTCTCTGCTGTCTAGATGAAGCAACTGAGACAATAATGATGTTTCTTTACAGTAGGAAAAGCTACCTGGGATGTTGCGTTAAGCACCAAACTCTCGAGCCGCCGTTGCTCCAAAGCATGATCCTTCTTCTGGATGATCTCGTTCAGCAGTTGGGCGTAGAGTTGGGTGATGCGGGCGTTCATGCTGACGCTCTCCCGGCGCAGGACTCTCATCTCATTGGCCAGTGCGCCTTCCTTCTCCAGCTGTCCACGCATTGTATCCAGCTGTTCCTGCTGCCGGTCCAGCAGCGCGCGCAAGGATGCCATCTCAGAGCGGTTGACACGGGCCGTCTCGGTGCTCACGCAAAGTGCCCCGGTTAACTTCTGCTGAGGTACGATGAAGGTGTAGGAACAGCGGCTCGGCTTTTTCTCAGATGTTTGAGGCGGCTTTTTGTGACTGGCATCGCCCTTGGAGGTGTCTGCATTAGAGGCTTCATTGAGGGCCTTTACAAAGCACGCCCCAGCCAAAAACAGCAGGACGCGAGTCACTGCAATCTCCATGAGTGTGCTACTGTTCCAATAAACTGTCCAATAAAATCCTAACAAACAAATAATGCAAAGTCTTAGCAATTTACACAATAGCATACATCTCAAAAGAACTATTTCCTTTAGTAACTCAACGTTTACACCGAATCTAACTTGCGAAATTGTAACTGTTTGTCAGATGTGTTTAATTTTTGACTCGGCTTAAACCAGATGGCCAATGTAACCGTTTTAACGTTGTAGCATCCACGAGTCGGTCAGTGAAGAGGCCTGCAGTTTTTGATGCATGCCAGATGTTTCTGTTTAACCATGGAGGGTAAAACACAGTTTTGCCTTTTCTTGGGGTTAATTAGCATGTCAACAGAAACAGAGCCTGGGTCAAGACATCATTTCATCTGACCGTCAATATAAATTGCTAAAGTCAATATACTGATGAAAATGACAGCTTTGGCACACATCATAAACACCTTAAGCAATTAACAGTCTAAACACTGACTGTGACAACTACTTCAAAACAACTAAACAAAATAACCGAAAAGACTGTTGATGTCTATGGATTTATAATTCTCATAAAGAAATACTAAAACTAATGGCAAAAGTATGTTCAAATGTTAATGTACATATGTATTTTGAACAAGTTTCACACATTAAAAAAACTGCATTGTTCAGAACATACACTTAAGAAAATTAGATGATCAATAAGTTGACTACATATGTTTTTACATTAACTCAACTCAATTTTCAACTTTCTTATGTTAAACAAGATTCAACTCATTTTTAAGTCAGTTTAATGTGATTTAAGTTGAAATGACTTAAACATCCAAGTTGATTGTACTTAAATTCAAGGCAGCAACTTTATATATGTATAATTAGTGCTAATCGTGATTAATCACATCGAACATAAAAGTCTTTAAGTCTTTGTTTATCACACACATATACATATACTGTATATATATACAGACAATACGCGCAGACTAACACACACACACACACACACACACACATATATAAACATAATAATAAACACACACAAACTTTTATGTTAGATGTGATTAATCACAATTAATCTATTTAACAGCACATACTGTGTATGTGTATACTGTATATGTATATATATATATATATATATATATATATATATATATATGAAGAGTTCAGATGCAAAAGCCTCTAAAAGCCATTTGAAATTTTCTTCTAAAATGACCATTTTTATCAAGCTTGTATATTTAAATTCAGTAATTTCACTTAAATGACAATTAATAGGTAATCTTCATTGCCATTTAAGTGAAATTACTGAACTTAAATATACAAGCTTGATAAAAATGATCATTTTAGAAGAAAATTTCAAATGGCACTTAGAGGCTTTTGCATCTGAACTCTTCATATATAACCAAATACCTAAGTCATACTGAAGAGGAATTCCATGTATGTAAATTTAAAAAACCTGGAAAAATAATAATATTTCTCCTACCTCCTCAGTTATATCACCAGATGATCTTCTCTTTTATTTTTGGCTTTGTTTAACTGATTATCTCGTCCTCCCGATTGATGCAAACAAAATCTTCTTATCTGCGCATTATATAACTAAAATCGTATAATATCGATGAAAAATCACCATGATAATGAGAAACACGGTTCAAACATGGCCTTTGCCGTTAGTAATTGAACAGGAGGACTGAAGCAGTGGATGTCTGGTCGGTGCTCTGGCTGGTCTTCAAAGGCAGTGGGAGACACCCAGACTGACAGTAAACTTTTAAAGCAGGATAATCAGCTCCTGTCAGAGGATCTCTAAACAAAGAAGAGTGTAATTACAAACCATCCTAATGAGACCAGCCCCCCTCTCTGGTCCTGCCCCACACGCACCACACTCCTTCACTCCTGTGACCCCATCCATCCCTCATACTGACCATGACTGGGAAATGTGTCGAAATACAGCTTACATGGGCCTATACAATTTATTTTTTTTATATTTTTTCCACAACAAGCATTTTTACAGTATTTGTGCAGGGAATTGCTCAAGGATTATTTACATGATTGACACTAATTGAAATTAAAATAATTGGTATGTTAATTCTGGACTTTCTATTTAGCGTCTTAATCCTGAGCTGATGGTATTTTCTATCATCTAACCTGACTTCTAAACCTTATTAAGAATTATGTTTACTAAAAATAGAGAGATGAAAACGAAAAAGAAACATTAACAAGAAAAAGAGAAAGATGACGATACTGCAACTTTTTAGAACGGTTGTAACCCGCTTTGGAATCAGATCAATAGAGGGATTCATTTAAAATAAAGAAGAGTAATCTGGGATTAGCAGTGGATATTTCCTTAATAATCAAGCATGGTTCACCCAAAAATGAAAGCTGTCATCATTTACTCACACTCAAGTTTGTTCTAAACCTGTTTGAGTTTCTTTCTCAACATATATTTTAAAGAATGTTTGACAGTGTATAACATCCTACGGAGGCGTGTTGCATTCACTTGAATAAAAAAAATCTACTCTGTTTTTCTGAATTAACGAGTTAATTTTTCATGAGAAAAAAAATTGCTCTGTTTTTCTGAATTAATGAGTTAATTTTTCATGAGAAAAAAAAATTGCTCTGTTTTTCTGAATTAACGAGTTAATTTTTCATGAGAAAAAAAAATTGCTCTGTTTTTCTGAATTAACGAGTTAATTTTTCATGAGAAAAAAAATTGCTCTGTTTTTCTGAATTAACGAGTTAATTTTTCATGAGAAAAAAAATTGCTCTGTTTTTCTGAATTAACGAGTTAATTTTTCATGAGAAAAAAAAATTTGCTCTGTTTTTCTGAATTAATGAGTTAATTTTTCATGAGAAAAAAAAGTTGTTGCCCTGTTTTTCTGAATTAATGAGTTAATTTTTCATGAGAAAAAAAGTTTTTGCTCTGTTTTTCTGAATTAATGAGTTAATTTTTCATGAGAAAAAAATTTGCTCTGTTTTTCTGAATTATTGAGTTAATTTTTCATGAGAAAATTTATTTTTGCTGTTTTTCTGAATTAATTCAGAAAAACAGAGCAAAAAAAATTCCATTAAAAATTAACTCATTAATTCAGAAAAACAGAGCAAATTTTTTTTTTCTCATGAAAAATTAACTCATTAATTCAGAAAAACAGAGCAAAAAATTTTCTCATGAAAAAGTAACTCGTTAATTCAGAAAAACAGAGCAAATTTTTTTTTCTCATGAAAAATTAACTCGTTAATTCAGAAAAACAGCAATTTTTTTTTCTCATGAAAAATTAACTCGTTAATTCAGAAAAACAGAGTAGATTTTTTTTCTTCAAGTGAATGCAATACGCCTCCGTAACATCCATAATATTTTTTTCCCACTAAATTTTCATTTTTGGATCATCTGACTCTTTAAACCTACCAATGCAGGTGTGTGTAGTAATTCATCCCATCCGAGAGACGGCGCATGTAAATCAAACAAGTATCGTGCGCACCGCGTGCAGGACACTCCTTCTGCGCATGCGCAACCACGCCACATGGTTAACAGCATAGCTCCAGGATTTTTAATTTCAAGATGGACTCTAGTTAACAAGACATGTGAGATATTTTATTAGATATTTTAAGTCAAGTTCAGGTTTCCACTCAGTTTGGAAAAGTTGTACTGCTCTACAAAAAATGGGGAAAACAAAGGTATGTGTTTAACTTGCTTCTAGAGGTAACGCTAGACTATGAGGCTAGTCAGCCTGTCTTTATCTGTGCAGTGTCTCTAAAAGACGGTAAAATAAATAGAATAGTTATTTGTTACACTTCTGTTTATATCTCATAGACTAAGAACCAGAAGAAAGCCCGCGAGGCTGCCAGCGTCCTAGCGGAGGAGTCTTACTCTACTGTGCCGCACACCTTCGTGTTTCAACGGGGTCAGATCGGCAAGAATGTCGGCCAGCTGGTGTTGGACATGAGACGAGTCATGGAGCCTTTCACTGCCAGATCTCTGAAGGTGAACCTCTGATAACTCCGAGTATTCAATGTCTCAGGACCATACACTGAAACCGATGACATGTTTGCAGGTGCGGAAGAAAAACATCTTGAAAGATTTTGTTGCTGTGGCCGGACCTTTAGGAATCAGTCACTTCTCCATATTTACCAAAACAGAAAATAGTGTAAACATGGTGAGTATATTTGCATTATGAGGCCAAAAGTCACTCTATTTTCTAAATGCATATATTTACTCTTGTTGTGAAAAATAGTTATGTCTATACTTTTCTTTTTTCTTTTTTTTTTTACAAAATGTCAACCCAGAATAATATCTGTCAGTCAGCTCCTCCCCCATCTTACAATTGACTACAAGCTTGCCTTGCAATAAAGGGATAGTTCACCCAAAAATGAAACTTCAGTCATCATTGACTCACCCTCATGTTGTTCCAAACCTGTATGAACTCAAAAGAAGATATTTTTAAGAATATGGGAAACCAAACAGTTGATGGTCCCAGGGCCGTCGCCAGAACAAACCAATTGGGGGGCATTTAATTTTCATAGGGGGGCACACTTTTTTTAATGATCTGAGACAGACCAAAACAACAACCCATATTAGGCTTCAACTAAAATAGACCACAATAGTCTTGTTTTATTCATTTTATTTAAATAAAATACTTCACTGTATGATCTCAACGTCTCTGTTTATTTTCTCTTAACATTTCCACATATAGCTTGCTAGCCTAGTAGCCTATATTTTTTGTTAATCTGCATAGTTCGTCACATACACAACACAGTGCCATCTAGTGGCTTTCTTGTAAAAGGCGCAATCAACGTAATATCATTAGTCCAAAGTCCAAACTAAGTAAAACTATGCCAAAACCAAATTGATTTATGACTCTACACTTCATAAAAATGAGTCACAAAAGCACCTGGTTTCCACCAACAATACAGCAATAATAAAAGCAACGCATAACATACTGCAATACAAATTTAGTAATGTAGCAGACAAATTCTCTATTCTTACCTTTCTTATACTGTCTGTTCCTACCATCTAATTAGCTCCAGAGTTGTTTCCACGCACGTTGTTGTTGGTCAAAAGTCGTCTTTGTCAACGACGAAACTTTAAACCACTTAGCATAAGCTTTGCTGTAGGCGTACAAAACCATAGACTATGTACAAAACCACCAAAAAAAAAAATACTATTGAAACCAGTGGGGTTCATCAACTGTTTGGTTATGACATTCTTCAGTATACCTTCTTTTGTGTTCAGCAGAAGAGAGAAGTTTACACAGGTTTGGAACAAATTTAGGGTGAGTAGATGATGACTGAAGTCTCATTTTTGGGAACTAACCCTTGAAGATATTACACCATCAAATCAACAACACACAGAACCCTGCCCTAAAGTTTTAATTTGTTTCACTTAAATCTGAATGTCACAAACATATATTGGTACTTCTGTTACATTGTGACTTGGCATTGCTGATGCCATGCTCTAATTTTTGAGCTACAGGAATGTTTTTTAAAATGATAATAAAAGCAATGAGGTACTAGAGGCTATGATTTTGTAGGTTAATTAATTATATAGTAAGGCTTTCCTACTAGGCTGATATATGTTCATTTTTAATGTTATCGTTATCGGCCTGGTAAGAAAATGTGGCCGATATATTAAAGCCGATAAATAATGCATTATTCCCTTCAGCTGAGACACTCGTTGAGCACTGTTTATGTTTTATGTCTTGAAATATGATTGAAATTTCTTCAAAAAATGAAAATTCGGTACAACATGTGCAGCGCAAATCTGTCATATCGGTTATACAACACTATAATGAGAACATCATTATAATTGCGCGCTTAGGACATGGATTTAATTGTGAGACTTTTGTTTTTGTAATCAGGCTCTTAAAATTAGATACAAATTTGGATTTAAGTTTATCAGCCGATATATCGGTTATCGGCTTTCAAATATAAAGAATTATCGGTATCGGCTAAAATTTTCAGATCGGTACATATCTACTTCCTACATAAGGTAAATGTCTCTTTTGCTGTTTCAAAGTTCATGGATGGATCATTTTCTCAGTCTTTTTGAGACAAACTGTGAAGTAATGGCTCTCTCTTTCTTCACAGAGGCTTGCTCGGCTTCCCAAAGGTCCAACGTTATATTTCCGTGTCGCAAAGGTACATAAATGCACTATCTTTGGTTTGGTTTCTCATATTCGAGAGCACAGATGATGACATTTTAGTCAGTATTTTGACTGTTGAGTGATTTCTTTTCAAAGTAAACGTACTGATGTGTTTCTAGTCTCACTTTCAACGCATTACGAATGCTCTTCTAAATTATTTTGTTGTAAAAGCAAATGGTCTCTTTGTTCCAGTATACGCTCATCAAAGATGTAGTTTCATCTTTAAAGAGGCACAGGATGCATGACCAGCAGTTTACCCATCATCCTTTGCTAGTGCTGAATAATTTTGGCATAGAGGGCATGCATGTCAAGCTGATGGCCACCATGTTCCAGAACATGTTCCCCTCGATCAACGTACACAAGGTAACTCGCTCGCTCGCATCTGGGAAACGTTTCTTAACTCATCATGATGAAAGTATAGTCTTCTGAGATCTGTGAAGTGTACAACCAGCTGATATTTTTGTCTTATTAGTGGTGACGTAACATAAAGGTGTCATGCTTGTTTTAATCATTAAAATCTTATCTCTCAGCTCAACCTCAACTGCATCAAAAGATGTGTGCTGTTAAATTACGATCCGGTGTCTCAGGAGGTGGAGTTTCGTCATTA